TTCTTTTTCTTTTTTATTATAAATAATACATTGTGACCTGTTCGCTAGGTAGTCTTCAAACCAAAGTAAATTTTTATTCTTTATTCCATAGAGTTCTAGTTTTTTTATAAGTATCTTATGGTTAACAGTGTCAAAGGCTTTCGACAGGTCAATAAAAACTCCAAGAGTAAAATAGTCATTGTTGAATGCAACCGATACATGATTAATTAGTTCGATTACAGAATGGTTTGTTGAATTATTTTTTTGAAATCCAAATTATTTACTGTACAGCAAACTATTTAACATCAAATAGTTGTAAAGTCTATTTTACATAATTCGTTCCAATAATTTTGAGAAGCAGGGTAAAACGGAAATAGGTCTGTAGTTGTTAATATTAGTTTCGTCACCAGATTTAAAAATGGGAGTGATTATGGCAACTTTAAGTTTTTTTGGCACAACACCTAGCTTTAATGAAAGATTAAAAATATGAAATAATGACGGTTCAGTGATATCGAAGACTGACTTAACAACATTAACACTAATTTTGTCAATGCTCGCAATTTTACTACTTTTAAGACTGTTGAAAGCATTTCTTATTTCGTTTAGATATAAATTAGATTCTTCCATAATAGAATTACATGATTTAATATAAGGAAATGACACTTATATATATATAAATTTCATGACATTGATATCAGTTTTTGACAAAATACAACAACCTCGAGGTTGTGGTGTTTCGCCAGAAATAAATACCGGTGTAATGTAATTTTGATATCAAAAGTTTCTCATAGTTTTATACACTGATACTTATATTTGATATCTTATCTTTAAAGGTTTCTAAATTTTCTACAAAGCGTTTAGCTTTATATCGATTCTGCGAATTTTACAATTAACATTCGCAGCCGTTTTAAACGCTCTAAGTATTTTAACAAACCCATTCATATTCACAGCAGAAGCACATTGTCACAATGTAGTTATGATTTTTGTAGCGGAACTGACTGTTTTTGAGATAATCACAAAAATATAAACAAGCCATGTAATTATCTTAAAAGCAGATAGTGCCGCTATAACGATCGTTGTAACAATTGTCATGGCGGATATAACGATCTATTGGAGTATATGATGCATATATATATATATATATATATATATATATATATATATATATATATATATATATATATATATATATATATATATATATATATATATATATATATATATATATATATATATATATATATATATATATATATATATATATATATATAATATATATATATATATATATATATATATATATATATATATATATATATATATATATATATATATATATATATATATATATATATATAATATATAATATATAATATATATATATATATATATATATATATATATATATATATATATATATATATATATATATATATATATATATATATATATATATAATATATATATATATATATATATATATATATATATATATATATATATAATATATATATATATATATATATATATATATATATATATATATATATATATATAAATATATATATATATATATATATATATATATATATATATATATATATATATATATATATATATATATATATATATATATATATGCATATACATATATATATATATATATATATATCAAATATATAAATATATATCATTCTGAGTACAGGCTGATATCAACTTTCGATATTAAATATTGACGAACTAAATGTTTTTAGAATGTTTCATATGTCTTAGAATGTTTCATATTTCTTAGAATGTTTCATATTTTTTAGAATGTTTCATATTTTTTAGAATGTTTCATATTTTTTAGAATGTTTCATATTTTTTAGAATGTTTCATGTTTAAATTTGAAGAATACGATCTATTTAGTTTATAAATCTTTATAATTTGAAACCCCAAAATAAATCTGTTCTGCGTTTTTGCAAAAATCTCAAACCTTTTTTTGCCAAACTATAAATAACCAGTTTTGTATTTCTTTTTGTGGTCTTTTTTTCCAATAAAATTGAATAACCTAATTTTTATTTAACTTTAAGTAGATAATAAAAGAAATTTTTCTCTGTGGTAAATACTTTTATGTTTAAAATTTCCCACTCAATATTCAAATATTTTAAAAACCGTGAAACTTCCTTTTATTTTAATGCCTGTAAAAGTGCGTTTTTTGAGTTAAAAAATTGTACTTTTAAGTTTTAATAACAAGTTGAGATTTGCAAAAATGCATCAAAAACTTTTTGATTTTTTCGTTATAAAATATGCAAAATGCATAATTTATAATGCAATGCATAAAAAATGCATTCCTTATAAAATATGCAGCTTTTTATTATAAAATATGCAAGTATAGAAAATAATAAATGTTGTTGAACAGTCAAAATTTAGTTTTGAATATATACTAGTCATTCGCCATGTATTTTAGGAAATGACGGAAATTCTAGTACGAATCTGTCTTTTGATCGTGTTTTATAGGAAGACAAAAGCTTAGGGCCTAAAATGGATTTTCGTAACTTATTATATAGCTTTTTAAAATAAATCACAACATGTAAATTTTGGCTTGATTCAAAAATTAAAAAAAAAACGTTCTATGCTTAGCAATAAACTCTTTTAAAAAATTTTTTTCTTATTTATGTTACTCTACTGAGGCTGACAATACAGGGTGAAGGGTGTAGATGCGTTTTAAAAATTATAGAAGTTTTTGACCCTCAATTAAAATAAAAATGTTTTTATTTCAAATATTTTATTTTTAATGTTTAATTAATTTTATTTTTAATGCAATAATTAATGTTTTTCAAATTTAACATAATTTGTCTTTTTTTTTTTTTTAATTTTTACAACTCCTATGTTTGAAATAATATAATGAAAAAATCTATATTGACAATGTTAATGCTTTTTGCAAAATGTATTTTTCATTTTCACATTTTTTTCCTCTAAACTGCAACAGTACAGTTTGGCCAATTACTTATGATGTTCTTTTCTTACGGAAGAAATCTTCAAAGGTAAGAAAGGAGGCGTGAACATCCTTTTAAATGATCTTTCGCGGTGCTCTGTGATAAATCCGTGAGAACTTCTTGGGGCACTTAAAATAAATAAAAAATAAATTAAAAAATTAAAAAAGGTTATGGAGTTCATTTTGTGATTCTTTCTATGCAAGGAAAAGAATCTAAACATTCATTCAATCAACAAAAATTAAAAACAAATCTACCAAAGACAGAATGAGAAGTGGACTTGCAAAATTCATTTTTTTTATTCTGAGAAAATGGCAAAAAATGTTTTCCAGTAAGTCAAATAGCTAAAATTTTTTTTTTTTTTTTTTTAGTGTAATTTATTTCGCCGTTAAAAAATGTTTACATTGCATATACGTTTTTATAAACTGATGGCTGGAGCAAGAAGAAGGCACATTTCGCCTTATCGCCGAGCCCCATTAAAAATTCTACATAACCGTAACATACAGATATATATATAAAAGAAACAATTAGAAATGATATAGAAAATAACTAATATAATAAAAAAAATAAAAAATAAGAATTTAAAAATTAAAAATTTAAAAGCTAAACAATAGATATCATTAAAAAAATACTCAAGACAAAAACTTAAAAATTGTGCTCTTTTGATCTTCATTTTATAACAAAATGAAAAATTAACCAATTAATTTTTTTATCTGGTTTTGATCGAAAATTTATTTCTAACTGGTTTTCAAAAATAGTTTAAGAAGTAAATTTGACTAATGACAATTTTAATAATCAAAATAATTGAACAAAACTCGCTATTCTGCAGCAGTAACAATGAAGAGTATTGTTGCTTAGAAATAACAACATGAAGTGAATAGGGACCATATTTCACAAATAATTCACTAGCACTGTTCTGTGGTGGCTTGTTCAATATCAAGCAAATTGAATTATTGCATGCAACACATAGACGATGAAATGAGTCTTTTCTCCAAAGATACCATAACTAACATCCATAGATTGGGGTGCAAAAGGATTTAAATAACTTGATCTTTGTTGGTATTTGTGTAGAGCTGAAATTTCTACGGATGAAGTTCGCTTTAGTATACATAGAACGTACGTGTTTTAAAATATCTTTGTCATCCTGCATATCGTTTGAGATCAAATAACCCAGGTGTTTATATTAACAAGTGTATGTGAGAACCATTTTAGAAAAAGTTAAACAAGGGCTATTTATAAGGAGCTCATAATTTTAAAAAAACAATTTTTGAGACTTAATACTGTTATAAACTATATCATGTTTCACAGCATAACTAGAGCATAAGTCAAGTAATATCTGGAGACCTTTGCCTGAGGGTGCACATAGGACAACATCATCAGCATAAAGAAGTTGCTTAATTAGAGTAGGACCCAAGCAGCAGCGTGCGGTAGTTTCATTGAGCAGAACACTATGATCGTTAAAATATATATATTAAATAGAAGAGGAGACAATACTACTCCTTGACGCACTCCATTACTGATATTAAATGTTTTGGGTAATATTCCACTCCATAGGATGTGAGCTGTTTGACCAGGATACCAGATAATCAGTAAGCGTAAAGTTACACCAGAGTTTTAGATTAGTTTCATAAATAGTGTGTCAAATCGAACTTTATCAAAGGCCTCACTAATGGTAATAAATGCCACATGTAATATAACTATTATCTTTATTATTGTAATTACTATGATAACTATATCTCAATTATAATTATAATACTATTTTATCTTAACTAATATAATCATATTACTATCAATAATAACATTGATAAAATAATAATTATAAAAGTTTATAAACCAAAATAATAGTTCTATTTCATAATATATCATAAATATTTTTATTAATATATTTTAAAACGAATTGTTTATTTAATATTATAACCATAAAAGATTTATTAAAACTCTAAATAATAAATATAATCTATTAAAAATAATTTGCTGATTTAAAAACATATTTAACTAAATTATTATACATTTAATGTTTCATTATTATTTATAACTATTGTTTTTATTTTATATATTTAAGAACTTTATACTGTGTTAAGAAAGTTTTTTAATTCATCGAGATTGTAAAAATAATTTCCACGGTACTCGATTGTGAACGCTTTGATATTTAAACAACAAATCCATTCATAAATGTCGTAGATAAAATCAATGTTGTCGTGAAGTTCAAGATCTAATGTTTCACAAAGATTAATCCATGGAAGAAAATTTTCTTCAAAATCTTCCTTTGATATTAAATAATCTGAGATATATATCAAAAGCTCTTTAATCTTATCTTTGGGTTTCCATTCTTTGAATTTAATTGGACGATAAAAGTTGACACAGCAAACATTAGCCGAACATTGAACTAAAAGCTTTTTTTCTTCATCACTTAAAATACTTTTATCAACAATTAACTTCGATAACTTTCTTCCAGATTTTATGTAATGAGTTACGAAATAATTTTCGCAAGAAGTTTCATAGGAAGTTTTTCGATTGTCAATCCAAATAATGCCCCACTTTCTTATATCAACAATTGATTTAATTTCATCAGTAAATGATGATTGGCTTTCATAAAAACATTCCATAAATAAATCATGATAATCTTTATCGTCTTTACTTTTACTTAGACGATCTAAAGAAAAAATAAATTATAATTATAATATAAACAAACAACTCAATAATAATTACGTTTATTATCAAAATTATATTATCAAATACATTATACTATTCTACATATTTATACCTATATTAGTTTTAACTATATTTGAATAAAAAACTATTGTGAAAATTGGGTCACCAAGACACACTATTGGTTTTTGCTTCGTAATTATTTTTTTAATACGCTTTTTTTTAGACGATTGGTTTAATTTGTTCAATTAATTTACACCTAAAACATTAAATTTTGCTAATTACCGAATTTTAACAAGTTAATATTGTAATACTATTTCAAGTAAAGGTAAAGTGAATATTGTATCAATACCATGGTACCTTAGCCATTATACAAACTATAGGCATCTTTAAAAAAGTATATAAAAAAGTATAAAACTTAGAAAAAAACAAATTTTTACTTTTATGGTCTATATTTTAAAATTCCACCAATAATTTGTATCAAATTCTTATATTTGTATCGAATTCTTATATTTGTATTGATTTCTTATATTTGTATCGAATTCTTATATTTGTATCGAATTCTTATATTTGTATCGATTTCTTATATAAAATCCTCAATAAAAAATGGTTTCAAACTGAATCTCGATCTGCAAGTATTATATCAACAAAAGTATCTTAACAATTGACTATAAATATAAAAAAAAATGTTTGTTTATTAAATTATTCATTCTCAGCATCAAATTTATATTTATATATACGAAGGCACATCTAAAAATTAAATAAGAAAGGATGAAGAAGGGGTGGAGGGGGTCAATCCTTAAAAAGTACCGATTAAATTTCATTCAACAAAAAGTCCACGAAACTAAAATTTACCCGACTGAATTGTGCAAAACACCCAACTAGCCGACTAAATATGTAATAAAAATTACCTTCTTTGGTAGTTAGATGAACGGGAAAAGATGGGGGGGGGGGAATAGAAGGAAAACCGAAAACCCTCTCTACACCCACACGTAAAATCATTTATATATATATATATATATATATATATATATATATATATATATATATATATATATATATATATATATATATATATATATATATAAATATATATATAATATATATATATATATATATATATATATATATATATATATATACAATTTAAAATGTATTCTACAAAAACAATACTCAATGTTCTTAAAAGAACAGAGCAATTTAGTAGAAACAAATTAGTAGAAAATCACTTAGCAAAATTTTTTCTCATTTAACACTGTGTTTCATCAATAAAGACTCATCAGAAATCCATTTTGATGAGTCTGAGAAAAATGAGAAAAATGAGAAAAAAATTGGCTAAGTGATTTTAAGATTAATATATATATATATATATATATATATATATATATATATATATATATATATATATATATATATATATATATATATAATTTTTTAAACAAAAGAAAAACAACTTTTTATGGTATTTACAGTTTCATGCCTTAAAGCAATCATCGGCTAGGCAATACAAAATTAAGAAATAAAAAACCCGTTAAAATATAAAGTTAAAATAAAATTTGCTCCGTCGTCAACAACAAACAACAGAAAAAAAAAAGAGAAAGAAAGAAAAAACTATAAATGGCTGCCTAATCACCTTGAAAGAAGAAATTTGCTTATATGTCTACGTTTAAAAACTAATTCATTCCTCTTATTTAATAAGTTATCATTGGTGTAAGATATTATGAGATACAAACTACAACGTTTTACAATTTTCTATTCAATTGTTGAGATTATTCCATTTTCTTTTAACCTCCATACCTCCTTAGATAATTCAGTGTCATTTTTATTTTATTCGATATTAAAAGATTCTGTATGGTTAGCGTAGCTAAGTTTGAATGCGGTTTCACTCACTCCAAAATACACTTTTTTATTTCCGTCCGGTATGCTTGGGTACAAAGTGGCTTGATACACTATGTTATTTACAAATGATTTTTGATTTAGAGGGCACTTGCTTTTAATAATACAATTGCAATGTTTATTGGAATCTGATGTGTTGTTTTTCATTATATGATGGTTATGAGAGTTAACTATTGATTTGATGTTTGGCATACAAGTGTAACTGACCTTTAGAGTATTTCTTGTAAAAATCTTGTGGTATTTATGGCCAACTGGGAAATGTTTGTCTATTATACCCCAAAAAAGAGTTTACCGATTTTGGTAGAAATATTTTTACTATTTGGACGGTTAAACCAAATTATATTGCGCTTACGATTTTAGTTTGATAAACAATACTGAAAATTAATTTTTTTTTATATTTATTGTCAATTTTAAAGAGAATTATGTTAATACTAATAATTTCTGATTTAGATTTTAATAGTAATTTAGATTTTATTAGCAATTTTTGTTATAGTTATTGTTAAAAGGATCTTATTGCGGTATAAATGGTCAGGGACCAAGACAAATCTTGGGCACCGCATTTCACATGCAAATATTGCAAATCACTACAAGGTAAATTTAACAATTGCTTCTCGCTTTAATGTGTTTAATTTATTTTCATAAAATTTTAATGCTTTAAATCCAATTCATATGAAGGAGCTGTAATTTACAAAGTTTTGTCATAAGTTGTGTACTGTAGGCTAGTACGTTCTTTCTTGAACTGTTTTATACTTTGAAATTTCCTGTCCTCAATTTATAATGATTCTTATGTATTATTATTTGCTATGTTTTATGTTGGTACAGAGAAGAGAAGCAAGCCATAAAGTTTGCTTTCACGAGAATTCTGCAAGAGTCAATTGACTCAAGCAAAGACTACTTCTGCATGATAAACATAAAAAGTTAACGCACAGGCAAAAACGCTTCTTAACGCAACGGCATAAAGGCCACCCATTATTTAACCTTTTTAACATCATCATTTTTTTATCTTTTAACACTCTTTCATCACCCCAGTATCACGCAACCCAGTTTTGCCTGTTCAGACTCCTCCTTGGCGGCATCAATCATCTTCAGGAGACTGCAACAATTCAGATAAGGAGGCAGATACTGGAGATATGGACTACGATTTTTCAGGTGAAGTTAGGGATGGAAAGCTGTACTTCCCTAACCTGAAAGACGCAAACAATTTAATTAGCTTCTGATATCCAGATTCACAACAAATCAGAAGATCATAAAGGATTTCACAAAAAAAAGCGGCTCTGAGCAGTTTTGTTGCAATAATTAAGAACTTCCTAGGCTGTGACAAAGCTGAAATTTATGTGTAGTTAGTGCAGTCCTTCATAAAGAGTTACGTTAAAATGGGATGCAGAGTTTCTGTGAATTTTATATCCTCGATTTGCATCTCAACGAATTCAAGGAGAACATGGACGCTAACTCCGATAAACAAGGCGAGCACTTTTATCAAGTTATATTGGACGTCGTTACCAAGAACAGTAAAACAAAAACATAATATGAGACTACATTGAGGGCCTATTTTGAAAGATTGATTTACAGTACAATCGTAAATATAGTAAGTCTAAGCATTTTTGAATCTTGTTGAGTGGTTTCAGACTGTGTTTTTCTATTTCTTGTGCAGTTTTTGTTTTAACGTGATCATAATGCAAAAAATGAAAGCAAAAAGTTCTATTTTCACAAAAAAAAGAACAAGTTTTTTTCGCACTGTTGTTGGGTAAGCAAAGTTTGTGCTTAATGAAATCATTTTTTCACATACTTTAGACATAAGCAATTAATATAAAACATAGAAGCCAGGAACAATATTTGTGTTACATAGTGTTGTTATCTGGTGTTATTGTTAAGTTGCAATAGCATTGTTATTGTAATGTTGTAATACTATTACTAAACAGTATTCAGACTATAAAAAAATAAAAGGAACAGTTTTGAACAAGTTCCTCAGTTATGTTGGCTATATGTTGTAACAATATTGTACCAGTATAAAATGTCCACATTTTTTATTAAGAGAAAAACCTTATTTAAATAAAAATTAAGTAATAATTTCTATATATTATTATAAAACCTCTATGATTACCTGAAATAACTTACAATAAGAAGAAACAAAGTTTTTAGACTTACCCAAAATAAAATACAAAAGTAAAGATTCTTTATAAGATTTTTTTGAAGGATTCAGGTTAACAAGAAACTTTAATATACTATTTTGGTTTTTATTAGCTAATCCACAAATCATTGATAAACAACTCTTCAGCTTTTCATTAGCCATAATCTCATCACAACTTAAACAATTATATGCATATACAGCTACACAAAACTCCATTATTGTCAAATGTGCAAACTGATAATAACAACCCAGATCTGTATCAATCCTTTCTATAAATCCAAAAAAATTTCCTTCATTTTTGTCAAAGTCACTAATAAAATCTTGAATTTCTTCTTTGGAAAAAATAACTTTATTTTCAATAAGCAACTTATATGCAATTTTACAAATATTTAAAATATAACTTTTATTGGAACTTTCTTCCATAATCTCATATAACAACTTATTATTTTTGATGATGTGTTTTCGCAAAAAGTATAGAAATATATTTGCATACAAATCTGTCATTGTTAAGAAAGACTTTGTATCACCTAAAACTTTTTTTGAACCACTTAGAATTTTACACATTGAAGATAAATAAAACGGAACTGATGCCATGGCTTTTGCAATTGGAGATTCCCTTAAAGTTTCTTTTACGACTTTTCTCTTTTTTTCCATAACATGATTTTCTACATAATTACTTATTCCATTTTCATTGAACCCCATTATTTGAATTGTTAATTTATCATTATGCTCAGGATATATACTTTGATAATGATTGATTGCATAAACTCTACCAGCAACGACATGTTTATATTTTTGAATTTCTGCTATGGCATTTACTATCGGATAGTTACACTTCAATCTTGGATTTGATAACTCACGGAAATATTTAAACTCATCTAATCCATCAATTATAAACAGTGCACTACGACTGCTTATATTAAAGTCATTTACAATATCTTTGTAGGAAACACTTAATAATTCATAAATGTTAGAAACATTTTGATATTGATTGAGCATCCTGCATTCCAAGTAAAAAACAAGTTCAACATCTTTCCAAATTAAACCATTTGACCAATCAAGCAAACACTTTCTAAGCAACCACGTTTTCCCAATTCCAGCTATTCCAGATATTAATATTACAGAACTTTCTTTCATAAATATCTCACTATATGAAAGTGGTGTATAACTCATTTGCTTTTCAAGAAATTTTTTTCGTTCAACACTTAAAACAGCATCCATTTGAGTATTCACTGCATCAACAATACATAGATCAACAAACTTATGTATTAGATCAACATTTGCAACTGCTTTTATCATTGGTTGAAGTTCACTAATTTTCCCATAATTTTTAAGATTTTTTTAGTGCAGCCGACAAACTTGTTAAATCTAAATAAAAAAAAAAAATTCTGTTTAAGTCATCATTATGATTTTACATAATGATATTCTTGATCATGTCTATGACGATCATTTTTTATATAGACATAAAATCTTTATAAAAATATACTTGAAATAAATTTTTTGATAAACACATTAAATATAAATAATTTCTTTGAATTTAATTTTTATGGATTACTTAGAAAAAAATTTTTATTCAGAGTTAATTTTTATTTATTTAGAGTTATTAAATTTAGCATTTTTTTTTTTATTTGTTATTTATTTATGTCTGAACAAATTTTTACTTAAAATTATTACAAACTTCTCAAAGTATAACAAATTCTATAACAAGTTTCTCAATTAAATTTGATTAAAGTAAATACTTCTGAAAAACGTTTTTACTTTGGAATCTGCTTGATTATTTTTTTAAACAAGTTTTAATTTAACTTAAGCTAGCTTTTGAAAAGTATTAAACTTTTTAAAAATGATAAACTAAATATTTCAGGTGGTTAACTCAACTTACCTGAATTCACAATTTTTGTAATAATGAAAATTTATCATAAATTTGCCTAATATCAAAAACATAAAAAGGCTATCTGAAATAGAATGTAAGAACCTTTAATCTTAAATATTTATTTATACAATGTCATAACGATGACGATGTTCATAATCATTCTACTTAATGATAAATTTAAACAACAATTACCTTTTTTGACATAAAATCTGCTAGCCATTCCTGATGAATTAATAGTCTCTAAATGAAAGTCAATTAAAGTTTAAACTATTTCAAACAAAAATCTAATTTAAATGAACAATAAAGTTTAATTAACATTAACATCAAAGTTATAAGTTTTTTAGAGCACTAACAGAAGTAATTTAGGAGTTCAACAGTGACTCAAACTTGACAGCAATAACAAATTTTTTATGCATGATTTTCTATGCAATTTTTGACTTTGTCGATAAAGCCTAAATATAATTACCAACTTAAATAAGATAACAGTTTTCTGAATTAGAACAAACTAGAGAATTAAAAAGTTAGAGAATGGAATCAGAAAGAAAATGGTAACTTAGTAAATGCTTAATTTGCAAATAATTGTATAAACTGTTAATAAGAAAATTTGAGTAAATTTAATACAGAGGACTCAATTACAACGTTTTTATTTATCAATGTATAGATAAAGGAAGCTGAGTTAAACAGAGTATTGGGGCAAGCGGGAGTTTTGCAAATAAACCATGACTGGATTTGAAAAAAATTTTAGAGCAGCAGAATTGTTCCAAGGTAAATGCAAATTCGTGCATTTCTTTTATATAATTTATTTAACTTACGACTACAGAAATAATTTTTTTAATAATTAAAGCTTTGAACTGAAGATTTTTATCTGAATAATATCTTTTTTTTTTTGACAAAATTTGTGGGCATTTAATTTAACAATAAAATCAACCCAGTTTCAATTACAAGACATTTTATTGTATAACAATACAATGAGAAAAAAATGATGTAGTTTTAATGGGTCTTTGTAATTTTTTAAAATCCAGGACTTTGCAGTTCTTTAGAACTGTCTCTGCACCAACCACTCTTTCTTTCACGCCTCTAATGCTGCTTTGGCTTCCTGGAAAATAATACACTAGCACTGAACAAGCCTTTAACAAAACTAAATAAATATGCCCTGAATGAATATATTTAGTCAAGTCATTTTACTGTTTTTTAGCAAGATTTAATGCCAGTACCAAAATAGACACTAAATGAACGTGTGTTGAACCAAAGAGTCAAAACACTTGTTTTAACACCCTTATCCTAAAAAATGATGTTACTGGACACTGAAGTGAACAAAACAACATATCCAAAGCTCAAAAAAGCAAAATAGTTTAAATCTTAAAAAAAAAATCAATTAATGAAGAAACAGCCTTTCTTTGTTAAACTCGAGTGTTGAAAGTTGGATTTGTAGTAGTGAGTGCCAAAATCTAAACTTTGTTTTTGAGCTATGCACAAAATCATACATGAACTTTTTCTATGATTCTAATTTGCCCAATGCAAAAACCCATTTTGCCTCAAGCAAAGAGCGGATTGGAACAGTAATTGTTTTTTTTTTTAAATTTAACAAATAAGTTTTTATTTTATGGTGTTTATACCTTGAAAAACTTTGTTAATGTTGTATTCTTTTAATTTTAAATAATTGTAAATTTTAAGTATTGACTTTGATAATTTTTGTTGCTCTAAGAGTGCTTTCAATAACACTGAATTAATTATTATCAGAGTTTTTAACAAGGCCTAAGGTAGCAAGGCCAAAAGTTACAAGGTTAAGGCCAAGAGTTTTAAGGTCAAGGCCAAGATTAAGAGTTTTAAGACCTAGGCTTATGCAAATATTTTCAACATCAAAGACTTCAATTTTCGCGTTATATTTAAGGCCAGTTATTAACAAAATTGTAAGTAACAAGACAGTGACAATAAAACCACATTTTGTAAAAATAGACCAAAGTTATGCGCAGAATTCAACAAAAGCAATAAGAAAATTTAATTTTTTTAGGGCCAGGGCCTAAACAATCAAGGCCAAAATTTTCAAGATCAAGCCCAACAGTTTTAAGGCCGAAACCAAAGTTATGGCCTCAAGACAAGGCCAAGGCCAAGGACTAATAACTCTGGTTATCAGTAAAAGCTGAGTTTTGTTTTGCAATCCCTAAGCTATCACAGAAAAGATATGGTTATCAAGATATATTTAAAAATCTTTATGAAATTATGAAAATATTTGTATTTTTATTTGATTAAAATATATCTGTTTTTCTAAAAACAAGGCAATTTAGATTTTTTTGTGGAAAAAATTAAAAGATTTGTAGTTTTTTTATGTTGTAACAATTAATCTTTTCATAAAATACGACTTCAATTAAAAATAGTACATAAAATCTTTATTCTTATAAAATATAGTAACAATATAAGTAACAGAGAGTCTATGTTTTTGTTGTTTTGAATGGAAACGTTTTTGAAATGTAAACAATTTGTATTTAACTTATCTTTAAAATTATAAAAAAAATATAAGAATCAAAGTTAGATATTTAATAACTTAAGTAATAAATACATTTAACTAAAGTTGAACTTAAATTATTAAATAACTAGCTGAAATCAGCCCCGTAAAAAAACGGGTCTTTGTATATCTATTCCATACCGAACTTTTCTATACTTTTTCTTTATATATTCTAGCTTTCCGGATCAGTAAAATACAGGTCCTTACCAATTTACATATCTATCTCTAGCCGAAAATTTCTATACCTATTCCTTATTTACTTCAATATTTTTTAGTAAAAGAATTTATTCTAAAAAACCTTTTCCACATACGTAGAGCTTATAAGAGGCTTATAATTAGGTTTGTTTTTCTGCTAAATACATTTTATTGATAGCAGTGATTAAATGCGCTGTGACCAGTGTTGTTTTAGAGGGTTTAAAACCTCCTCTTAGCGTAATAAATTTTGAAGTTTTTTTAATCTTGCTTATATATTCATAGCAAAAATATAAGAATATAGAAAAAAAGATTTCAAATACTTAAAATAAATTTTCAAATTTTCTCATTTTATAGATACATACATATACGCGATTATTCTAAGAGCATTAAATCAAAGTCATAAAAAAAAATTAATTCTTATGATTAAGAACAATAAGAATAATAAACGCTTATCTAAAAGTTAAGCCAAAATGATTTTGGGCATTGACGTTAGTTTGTGGCAAAGTAAGCCTTAATGTGTCAAGTTTCCATTTTCATTTATCTTATATTTTTTTATTAACTTTTATTATATTACATACAAATGCATTAAAAAATATAAAACTGGTACAGATATATCATTTTTTACGGATAAGAGATTGTATTTATTACTACAGTAATAAATAAATAGTTTTAGGGCCATCCATAAAGGACATCATCATTTTTTAGCCAATTTTTGACCCTTGTCCAGTCCTTTGTCACCGGTTGTCCTATTTCCTTATACCCCTTGAAAACCTTCCTGCCCCCCCCCCCTTATTAAAATCCCGCCTCCTAAGTTTTTTTTTACCTTGCAATGATATTTGAAATTGCTGCTACACCTTTGAAAAAAAAACAAAAAAACATTCTCATGTATTATCTTTTTAAAAACACATATTTACATAGTTTTTCATGTTAATTAAACTAAAATTAAAAATCTATAAAGTAACGTTCTTTTCTGACAAACTCCCCTCCTTCCTTTGTTCATTTTGTCCTTTTTATCTTGAACCCCTCTCCCCCTCCTTATTAGGACTAATTACATGAGCACGTTATTAACATAAGTATCTCAATCATGACACTTACGCAACATTTTTTTCTCCCGGTATTTCGATGTTTTTAAAAAATATTACCTTTTTTAAAATCTTTTCGTTCGTTTAAGTGTATTATATCGTTACATATGTTTTTATAAAACTCTATAAAACTTCAAAAGTATTCTGTATTTTAAAATAGTCGAAAATTTAAAAAAAAAAAAGTTTTTAATAGTAGGACTTGAACTAGGGCTTACTTGTTCAGAAGCTATACATCAAAGTTAAGAAGAGCTTGACGCAATGCAATTTTTAAGTGAAAACCAAACTGTAAAACTTGATAAATGTTTCAGTATGTCTTAACATTACTTAATTTAAAGTTTACATACGTTAGAAATTTGCATATACGTTTGATCACGTTTTCTTAAAAAACAAAGTGCTGCAACTCTCACTGGCCACTACCTTAGTTGCAATGGCTGCCAAGGGTTCGGTGTCAAACGCCCTTGAATGAACTATTAAAAAGATTAAGCACAGCAATAATATATAGATGATAAGAAACTTAGAAAATTAATATTAGTTGTTAGATTAATAATTATATTAGAAATTTGTATTATAAACTCATAATACAAATTAAATTTTTAAATTTTATATATAAATTTAAATAAAAATATATATAATCGATGTTTCCAAAAATAAAATACAAATATTTGTATTTGTTATTTAATTTCCACTTGGAAAACAATGGTTACATATATTTATTTAAATTAGAATTCTAGAATCAAGAAATGTAAATTTGATAAAAAATATTTGACTCCAACCCTAGCTGCAGTTAATAAGAAATTACTATAAAATTTTAAAAACTTTGCAAGATGAAGCAAGCTTATGAAGAAAACTAGCAACTAATGCACACCATAATTTTTCGGTAATAATAAATACTACCTCAGCAATATTACAAAAAGTTTAAATTCCGCATTCATTGTCAGAAAGTAAATAGTTAGACTCATGAAAGCAAGTAGTTAGACTTATTAGTTAACAATTTAAGTTTTTGTTAACAAAATTTTAATGTGACTATCTGGCTAAATATAGTTTACGGGAAACTTTTATCAATCCTGGGCTCTGTATTGAGATGTGTCGTATCTTGATCGTTAATAATACACTAGTACATTTTCTTATAATGGACAAAAAATAGGACAGGCTCTCACCAACATCTAGCCTTTATGTTGGTTTGGAGAGTCTTTTCTTGCTTTCATAATTTAGATTTCTATCTTCTCCTTATGTCGCATTTAATTTCTCCAATCAGGAAATAAAATTTTTTAAATATATAAGATAGCTATGATAAGAGCTTTAGAAAATACTTTCGTAACATTGTAACAGAAAACACTTTTGTCACATTGTAACAGAATTATTATCTAAACATGATAAAGCTTGTTTAAAATTATAACTGGTGATCTACCGAATTATCAACATTTGCTTAATCGGTCACTTTTTCCACAATTGGAATCGCTATTGGCATCTGCCTTTTTTTTATTAATTTACCGATTTTCCAACTGATGGAATTTTTATATTTTTATCTTGCATTATGATAATAATTAAATAATAAATAAACTAAAATTAGAATGCATTATTTAATTTTTTTTTAGAGAAATTGTTTATTTTGACTTATTTTACAGGCAATATTATTTATTTTTAAGGCAATGTTTATAAGCTTTAATTTAACAGCTGAATGTACTTATAATTTTATTACCTTAATGTTTTTTTTTTTTAATAATTTTATTTTGTGTTGTTCTAATATTATACTCAAAAGTAACCTATTTAAACATAGTTATTTTTATTAGCATATGTGTAGTGACGTATTTAAACATATTTATTTGTAGTAAACTATTTATACATAGTTATGTGTAGTAACGTATTTAAACATAATTATCTGTAGTAACCTATTTAAACATAGATAACTGTATATATTCTAGTAAAGCCTACTACGTTTTTTATATTTGCTTTTTTAATTTTTTTTTTATTTCAATTCACTTCCTCAAGGCCATGAAGGCCACTCCTTGTTGAGAAAGGATTGTAACCATAAGTGGTTACAACCCTCTATATCTGGTTTAAAAAAAGTTTGAATGTATTCACAAGTCGCAGCTATTTCTACACAAAGAAACACCAAATAAGTTCATTTAAACTGTTAGCAAGGGTTCCGCTCAATACTATATAAAATGTTATGCATAAAGTTTTTGTTTTGTTCATACATTATATGTATTTTTTCATAATTATCAAATCTTTTAAGCTATATGATTAATTAATCAGTAGCCTATAAAAAATAGGAATATTGTTTACTATAAAATATTTTAAATGTATAAAATAAGATCGCTCAAAATAAAAACATCCTTAATTTTCCTGACTTAACTAAATCAATCTTTTTTCCCTTATGTTCCCTGATTCTAACCAGGAAAGTTCTATAGAACTTCAATAAACCTTAGAAACATATAGCCTATTAATTTTTTTTAGAGTTCTTTAAAGTTTTTATAGAATCTTTATTAATTTCTATAGAAATTCTTATAGAACCTTTTCTTTTTTCTTTTTTACAGAAAATAAAGCTTTACAGCAATTTCAATAGAAATTAATAGACATCCTATAGAAATAAAATAGAATTTGTATAGAACATATGTTTCAAAAGTTTATAAAAACTCTATAAAACTCTTTTTCTTGCGTATATAAATTTTCCTGTTATTTCTCAATTCCCTCATTTAGTGGCAACCTTTAATACCAAATATAAATAATTAAAAATAACAATATTTAAATTAATTAAATATCAATAGTAAATATATGTTTTTTAAGCAGATATTTACTAATGAAAACTGAATATCTTATGTTTTTCAAAAGCACAACAAAAATAAAATAAAATAGTTTTTGCTATATTTTTGATCTTACCTCCAAATTTGCTCTCAATTTCAACTACAATATCAAAACGTTTAAAAGCTATTAACTCTTTTTTTAATTGGTCCCATGAAAGATTTCCATTTATTTGTTTCCATTTTTTTAAAACACTATCAGCTTTCTCATAACATTTTATATTATCAGAGTCAATGTTGTCAAGATCTGAATCGCTTAAGCCTAGATGTCTTCCCCATCGAATCCAATCACTTCCAATTTTATAACTTATTTCACCGTGATATTTTGAAACAAGTTCATCAAAATTCAAATCATTTCTTAACCCTAAATATAAGAATTTTAATTTTCAGACATAAAAAAAAAAAAATTTAAATGAAAAAAGTAAAGAAGTTAAAAAATATTTTCTAAGAAACAAAGCTATAATTGGTATAAACTAAATATATCACTCAATATAATAATTTGGTAGAAGGTGATAGATAAGTAGTGATTTCCAACAACTAATCATAATCCATCAAAAATATTATGGTTTATTTGCAATAAGCTATAATTTGCAAAAAATATGGTAGATTTTAGGGGTCAATATAATGTACATTAGGTTAAAAAGGATCAAGAAGCAAGAAAATAAATACATAAGTATCAACTTCTTTTATTTTTTTGTTATCGTTTTATTAGCTTTTTAAGACAATATTTTCAAAGTTATTTTTACTTTGATTAAAATTGAAAATAACTTTTTTTCAGAAATGAAGTAGGCCATGACCCCAGATTTCCCTCACTATTACTAATATTACTGTTACTAAGTTTTTTATTTAGCAAGGTTTAGTACCAAGCGGTGGTACTAGATTGTGTTTTTTAGCTATTCTTAATTAATTTGGAAACAAAGACTTTACTAGATTTTCCTTCCCTGGTATCTGCTGTGTTAGAAATGATTTTATAAAGAAACTTACTGATATTAAGATATCTTTTTTTATGTTGTTTACTAGATGCCAAGACATAGCTACAAAGAAGCAAAACTGTTTATAGTTAAACTTTTATTTAACTATATTTTTCACACAATATTTTAGTTTATAGTGTTATTAAAGATTTAATTACTAATAACCCATACTAAAGGTTGGTTACATCAAGTTTAAACAAATATGTCAAATAAACAATAGAGGAAATGTTGATTACTTTTATTAATTTTTATAAAACTTTGTAAACTTAATATTTGTGTTCTTAATATTTATTTAAGTTTATTAAAAGAAAAGACTTGCTTTCAACCATATTTATATTTTTATTTTTATAGGTTGTACAAAGTTGTATGATTACATTTTTTTTTTTTTAAGTTTGGCTTTAAATATTTTAAACATACCAAATATATTAGTATTTATTTTTTCTAATATCATATTTGTATCTTATTTTAGCATTCACATAGTTGCAGCAAACCAGTAGAGATTTTATAAAGTTCATTTTCTACTATTTGTTGGAGTTTTTAAAAAAAAAATTTAATTATACAGGTTTTAATAGGAAAAACTTTGACTCTCTATAAAACTTATTTTCTAGCCACATTACTGACGTCGCATGAGAATAAACAACAAAGTTTTGTATGCGTTATGTTATGTAAGAAAAATATATATTGCAGTACACAAAGACACTAAATTGCCAAACAGTATTGATTAAATGTTTGTACATCATCCAAAATTATACACTTTTTTTCAGGTATAAAATGCATACCAAAAGATCATCAAATATCTTTTACTTTATTTAAATACATTCAACCATAGAACTAAAATTCATCAAAGGGTTTTAACCACTGTTCTAAAAAAAAACACATGCTTCATACACTAGCTTAACTTATGCCATAAAGCATTTAAAATCTTTTTCTCTTTCATTTTCTTTAGGCTTTCTAATATATATATATATATATATATATATATATATATATATATATATATATATATATATATATATATATATATATATATATATATATATATATATATATATATATATATATATATATATATATATATATATATATATATATATATATATATATATATATATATATATATATATATATATATGTATATACATATATATATATATATATATATATATATATATATATATATATATGTATATATATATATATATATATATATATACAGTCTTTTAAAAACTTCTTTAATAGAATGAAGAAGACTAACATCTTCTAAAACTGACGTATCTTCCCTTTCAATTGCTGCAATATTTACTTGAAGGAGAAATATCAAGGAATACAAAAACGAAAGATAAGCTTATGAAAATTCATTCTCAAAATAATTTTTTATCGTAACAGGTAATTGATCAACAGAAAAAAAAAAGAGTATTTTCAAAACTCAATTAGCATTAGGAATCTTTCAATAGCTGGAAACAAACTTAGCCATCTAGTTTTAGAGTAACAGAGTAGTTGATTGACTAATGTCCTCATGCTCGCATGAATCTTTTAAAACTTCTATTCTAACTGTATACATAGAAAAATAATTGAATATTTTCATGACAACAGTTTCAACAGCAATCTTTATTTAATCTGCTACAGGTTGTATGCAGTTGTGCAATACGTGGGAAGAGCATCTAACACCTACCAACGATTTATTTAAAACTTTTTTTAAATACGAGAAAATATTTTTGATTACTTTTCTGTTAAGGTCTCCAAAATTTACATTAGCATTGTCTCCAGAAAAAGCAACGCACTTAGAAAATAATTCATATGTTTGGAATGTTTCAGACGTTCATTTGATGACTTATCTAACGTAAGAATTTTAGCTTGGATACCACGTGACTTCCGGTGAAAGTATTGAATAACAATCTAAAGTTTTTTCTTTCATCTGTGGAAAGACCAAAACATGAAATGCAATCTTATGATTTCACCAGTTGATCAACAGTTAGGAGCCTATTACCTGGTTTATGATTGTCTTTTTTACAATTTCCGAATCTTCAAATAACACAGGTCTGCAACATCACACAGGTCTGCAACATTACGCAGGTCTGCAACATTACACAGGTCTGCAACATTACACAGGTCTTCAAATAACACAGGTCTCCAACATTTTTTTTTTTAAGATTAAAGAGTTTATTCATATTTTTGGTTGCTGAATTCGAAAAAGTTATCAAAAAAAATTCAATCACGTAAAGTTTTTCTATAAAACGCAAAATGCTATGGGGTTACCTATTTTAGGGCGCAAAACGGGGTTTATTGTCAAAATATTTATTATTATATTTATTAACTTAATATAAGATCGTCGGCTAAAACTTAATATAAGATTCGTCGGCTAAAACAAAACATTTAGTAATTCGTGGAATCGGCACTCCGCCCAGTCCCTCACAAACCTGGCATTCCTACATCACAAGCACCCCAAAGCCTAGACGATTTATCATCATTAGAAAGTGAATCAGAAGAAAGTTCTTGTGACGAGTTTTAAGTAGACGACTCCAGTAGTCCTCAACGATTTTCTCAATTAAATGAATTAAATGACCTGATCCGAGAACCGAGGACTCTCAAAACAATCTGCTGAGTATTAGAATCTAGACAAGAGAAAAATTTATTGACACCTGAAACTTATTTTGCTTGGTATAGAAATAGAGAAAAATATTTTAAGATTTATTTTTCTCAATATGGTGAGCTGGTCTATTGTTCCGATATCAACGGTTTAATGTCCGTGTTCAAAGTTCAACATATAGCTGAAAATTGGAGACTGTTTATTGATTCTTATTTTACAACGAGAATAAGTACGCATCAATACCCGTTGGTCACTCAGTGCATTTGATGGAAACTTATTGTAACTTGGCATTGATCTTGGATAAATTAAAGTACAAAGAATTCGAGTGGACAGTTTGTGGAGATCCTAAAGTAATTTTTATAATAATTGGACAGAATGGTGGTTACACAAAATTTTTCTGTTTTTATTGTGAATGGGATAGTCGTGCTAAAACTAAACACTGGAACCGGAAAGTGTGGCCGAAAAGAACATTGAAAGTCGGAGAGAAAGAAATACACTTTGAATCTTTGGTTGATCCTAAAAAGGTCCTTCAACCATCACTCCGTATCAAACTTGGCATGATGAAGCAGTTTGTGAAGAAATTGCTAAAAGATAGTGAGACATTTAAATACTTTTCAAGCTAGTTTCCTGGTCTGTCTGAAGCAAAGCTGAAGGAGGGACTTTTTGTTGGTCCTGACATTCGTAAGCTAATGAAAGATAACAACTTCGAAAATGTGATAACTATGTTGAGGGATCAGCTTGGAATTCTTTTAAAGACATAGTTACAAAGTTTTTAGGGAATCAGAAAGACTTGGACTTTAAAAATATTGTAGAAAATATGTTGTGCAATTTTAAAAATCTGGGATGCTCAATTAGTTTAAAACTCCATTTTTTTGAACTCCCATTTGGATTACTTCCCGGAAAATCTTGGTGCAGTTAGTGAAGAGCAAGGTGAGAGGTTTCATCAACATATTAAAGAAATGGAGAGAAGGTATAAAGGTCGATGGAATACAAATATGATGGGCGACAATTGCTGGATGCTGCGTAGGAAAAATGTAAAGTCCCACAAAAGAAAATGCACTAAAAGAAGCATCGAAACTAAAAAAACCGGATTTTATAAAGCTTTATAGTTGAATATACTGTAAACAAATTTTTTTATGATTTAAAATTAATTAAATTTGTATAATTTAAAGATTTTTTTTCTACTTATGGTTACTGCCTAAAAAAATAGTGTAAGGTGGGTTTTGCCCAAATTTTATTTTTGACTTAACGGAAAATTCTTACGTGATGGGTCGAAATGGATGGTATTATTGAAATTAGCATACCAAAAAACATATAATTCACCTACTCCATAAAAAAAAAAAAAAGTTTCAATTTGCAGACCTGTGTAATTTGTGCATTAAATCAGCTGTGCAGGCCATTGAGTTACTAATGATGACAATATCTATGAAATGCTAAAGTTACTTCACATGGACTACTTGGAGGCACTTTAATTAATTAAAAAAAAAACAACAAAAAAAAAAAACATGTGTGGGCTTTTTGCAATATCTTTAAGTTTTTAAATTGAAAAAAGGATGTTAATTTATTGAGCGACGGAAAACCATCTAAATAAATCACAAATTATACACTTTGCCTCATTCTCGTTGCATCCTTCTGCAAAACATGAATAATTTGTTTTCATATTACTTGAAAACTTGCATTTTCTCTTTAAAGAAATTAATGTTATTTTTATAAAAAAAATCAAAATTCAATTTGCGTCCAGATTAAAAAAGTGGTGAGCGCAATAAAAAGATTGAAAATGCTTATTTTTCAGTTGATTTAATATAT